TCGATATTGAAAACAGAGGAACTGATGTCCCCTGAGAATCAGCCTGTGTGAAATCGATTTTGTTTCCCCTCAACCCTAACTTGAATCAGATGTCTGGCGAAAAGTAACATTTGAAATTAAAGTTATTGACTGAAAGAAAAAATTGAAAGAAATATAAACTCACTGCCATTTTTTCTGCAACAAGCCTCAGTAAAACAGGCATATTTCTTTTGAATATGAAAACCAGAAATTAGTGGCAAATTTGGATTTCTTATGTTGCGATTTTTCAAATATATACGTAGTTGCCAAACTCAATGAAAACCACATTGGATCAGAAAAAATCATGCTATCTGATCACCTGGAAACAACTCTCAAAGTAAAGCCAAATGTGATTAAGTAATCGGATTTTGCTCAAAGGTTCTCTCTCTGTCGGCGGTCGTTAGGGTACTTGAACGTACTTACGCATGACTTCAGTTCATCAATCTGTCAAGCTATCTATCGATCTAATCGATATATATATATAGAGAGAGAGAGAGAGAGATGGAAAGTAGTAGGCAATCATTATCAATGATATTCCATCTCACAATTATTGTGCAACCAGGCTATTTGTATCAGTTATTGAAATGCATCAAGTCAAGAACTTCGCCGCTTGAGTATCAAAAGCATTTAATAATAGAAAATGTACGATTCCAAGAGGATAAAAGATATAATTGCAAACGACCACATATCATCATGTCTGATGTGAGGGTGGTAAACCGGCAGAAAATGAAGAATATATCAATGGTTGTCGTGGCTTGGTATTGCATAGTTAGTAGTCCATAAACTCACTATGGCTGGTGCCTTGTAAATGCGGTCTCAATCCACGGCAATGGTCAGGGATAAATGAATACCATCACAAGGGGATTTAAATGAGAAATAATGCACTGATGTCACTGGTGTGAAGAAAGTTTACAGATTCTGGTCACTCACGACCATCCTGTTGTGTTGACATTTTAAGGTGGCCGGATTTCTCTCACGGCATGAGAACTTATTTGGTAGATGGAAAGACTGAGCTAGTTTTGATCGAAAAACCATGACTAACTCTTGGTGCCCTAATAATTTGAATGGCCAAATCAAACAACTGCTAAGATAAAAATCTGTCTCAATCTTCTAGATCCTTTCGCTCCAGCAAACCGATGCCAAAATGTGCAGTCGAGTAAATTGTATGTTTGCATTTGCTGTAAACTTTCATTCAAACACGACTGAAATGAGGGGAACGGTGGCTTATTGCTTCCATTTTTGTCTCACACCACATCGTATTTTACTGATCCAAACGAATACTCCAGAAACATGAACCATTTTTCAAGTTTTGTTATTCCTCAAGTAATCGGTACTCTTCAAATTTTGCACTTAATGTGTTAATTAAGTATCACGAACCTCAATTGGACTGCAGGATGTTATTTCCAGACAAATTAACCTCGGGAAATCAATACAATGCGTATGCGTTCGTTTTTGTGGGTCTATATGTGTGCGGAACCTAAGCCAACTCGACATCATAGCCCATTATCGATGATTTATCTGCTGACGTGAAACACATCTACCCAACATTTCAGACCAATGGGTGATTTGCCCGGTTGATTCTCAATTTTTTTTTACTAATAATGTCTGTCATGAATGAGAATTCCTTTGGGTAGGCGTATTTAGATAAAGGCACTTGAATCAAATTACCTGCCATTGCGCTAGCAAGAATCATACGTAACCGGAGGAATCCTTTCGAGACTTTGTTTGCCTAGAGGCATGCTTATTACTGTGAACAAGGATTTATTCTAAGATAGGCAAAAAATGGAAGTAGCTACTGCGGGAACCCGTAAACTGATCTGATTCGAAGAAACTGCAAGCATAAGAGTTTTCACGTTATGGGAGCACGTTTCAGTTTTTTGAATTTCAAAGACTTATAAATGTACATACAAAACCTAAATACCGATTGTTGGATACTTACACAAACCTACCAAACTTGTGGTGTTATATTTTATTTCAAGGGTGGTTTGTCCATAAACCTTGTTTGGGAATTTTGTGACCGGCATCTGGAACGTTTCACTCAGCTATGAGATGTGTAGCTAACTAGTAAGCACAAGCACTTACTTTCTCATCAACTGGGTTTATACGGATTGCACTGAAAACTGGAGGACACACAAAAGACAAAAATATTCTTCATTGCACACCTTCAAAGACTGATAAAATCCTACAAGAATTGTCTCACACAAATACCTCAGAATCGGATCAATTATTTTCGACAACAAAAAATTGGTTGCCGCTTGTGTTTCCTCTTATGTCGGAATCTTATATTTTGTCTCCGATAGGTGCTTTAGTGAAGCTTCTCAGCATAAGACAAAAGTGAAACTGAAGCTTCAATTAATTCAAGAGGAATCCAAATTCAGATAGGATATTTCCGTACATCACAATCTTTTCCTTTATGCGCCGACAACCTCATATGCAAACCGGAAGTCTGATTTATGTTTGTTGGAACAGTGTAGTTTATTTAACCATGCAGTTTCCGATTCCTGTGGACACTGTTTTAGTGTAAGAAATGTTTTTGAACAGAACCACTAGTGCCCAAAACCGAGATGCAGCTACATTCCCCTGTTCTTTACTCTTATTTCTGACAACCATGTGCCGTGTTTGCTCTCACAAATGACCTTGATCGGGACAATTGAACAAGCACTGTTGATTGTGCACATTCATGCGCTTAGTGACCCCTGCACGTGGTTTGTAGCTACCATGTGAAAGATTGGATGGAAAATGCTTAATCGTGTCTGTTTTGACTCCTGCCCTACCACACCCCGCTATTTCACTCTAACTTTATGACCAAAAGCTTGGTGTTTACGCACTCCGTTCGTGAACTCGGTCATCATTGGTGCGGNNGGCAACGGTGGATCAATTACAAGAAAATCTGGAAGCTATACTGGTGAGTTTATTGTATTGATCATATAATATGTTGCTCAGAGAGTTGAACAAACGATGTTGAATGTTTTCACGTTCGATCTCTGGGTTTAGTACAAGAAGGGTGTCCCATTTGGACACTATTTTTGAGTACTAATTGTAACAATGTTTTGGATGGGAGAGCTCTTTTCAAGTCACCCTCGTGAGACTACGGGAGAAACTATGCGCGGTTCGGCAAGCGGCATCAGATGATTGCGGTCAACCACTTACGCACGTACTAAACCCCCAATCATTGGAGTGACTGCTGTTTCTGCTACGCATTTTCCCGACTGGTTTTTGCCCCAATGAGTAAACGTCGACTCAAAGATATGGGAGACCACATTGTGAAGTGATTTTTAGATAAGACACTTTCGACAAGCAGACTAGATCTCAGTTGAGAACCACCGGACGAGACAAATCTATGGTGAAAAGCACCAGTTGGTATGATTAACTGTCCGGAAGAATGAAGCTCGGAGATCGCCTTAATTTCTACGAACATCGCCACTGCTCTAGTTATAGATTGTTTCAGCCTTCTGATCATCTGAACTTTGGTACATCGATCGGAAAAATCGATATTCGAAAGACAGTAAAGCACAAATATGAACAACTTTTGGTTGAGAAATCTGAAACGAGATGTTGCATGAGGCTCGTTGTTATTGATATTGAAGGGCTAACCAAAAACAGTTATCTTATAAGCACTGCGATTAGGTATGGCAAAATAGCAAGTCAAATGTTCATTTTCACACGTATAAAAGTGTCCGAGGCATCATCGATTGCATCTGATAATGCTGCTGCCTATATGTCAGATTTCCATTCAAATGAAATACTCGATGAATTCTGTGTTATTGACAATTATTTTGTCGTGCATTTATCAAGATAGTTACCTACTTCCAGCTATTTGACCCAGTTGTTTTGTCCATGCATTCAACAATTCTGTGGTCATTCTGAGTGACTGAAAATTTCGATTTTACGAGGTGATCACGATTACTAACGAAACGAGGACTTCGATCAATTTTACCCGCCATACATTTGATGACTGGAATCGGCTGGTGATAAAACGTTTGCAAACAAATTGCCAAGCTCGGCGAAAAGGCGAAATAGAAAACGAATATTTCAAAATTAAGTGATTTCCCTACTACACCTTTCGGTCATATCAGCAGAAGGGAACCAATGAACACAAAGCGATGTTGTTCAAATACACCTAAAACATTTGCGATCCATTTCTGACTTCGCTGGGGAATCTCACTAGAAGATATCTGGATCAACTGGAAACGAATCTAGCCGGTTTATTCAGCTGGAAACGGACTAGTTCATTAATCTCCCAACAGATTTTTTCACATTGGCGCAATATTTTTGTTGTGTTCAGAGAAAATATTCGAATTCTGAGCTCCTAAAATTAAAAGAAGAGATGATTGTTCTAAAAAAGATAACAAAGTTCATTTTGGATGGGTTTGAACGACGCAGTTGCATTTTCATCCCCTTTTATGTTGATTACACATCCTGACGTAATAGACACCAGGAAGCGAAGTCCCTATTCATGGAAACCTACTGCTACTGTAGCGTCAGCAGCCTAGTCGCTAGCAAATGAGATTTTCAACCATATTAGGCGCCATTTGGACGGATCTGACAGTAAATTGCACGACAACAACGCCTAATAGTCAGATGGATTTTACCGGATTAATTTATGTTAATTTAGGGCGCTGGAACATTACTGAATCCTAAGTTTGCACTTCATTTTGATTGGCCACACAAACGTTTACTATCGAACCAGTCTATTTACTGATGTCACAGGGTTTGATTTTACAAAGGTTGTTTTGTTCGTCTCGGTACCTCTTATTTCAGGTTGCTCCGCGACTCAATCTGAACATTCTGACGGAAATTGAATGCATTTTATCACCCGATACATCTGAAGGTTTTCTCTAGATATTCAATATCCGGCAAAAGGCTGGATGAGCACTATTCACTCCGAGATCCAGTCTTCCCCGCAGCAAACGTAACCCCATACCAACCCGTCGCAATCTCTTCCCTTTACAAACCCAATTTCCTCAGGTGAAACTGTGACGGCATCTCTGTTTGCCCGTGTATGTGTGTAGTGTTGAACAACCACTTCTAAACAACTCCGCTAATACCCCATCGAATATCTATGGTCTTCAACCCAGCCCCTGTAATTATTGGTAATCTGAGGTTGAATTTTCCGGACATAAATTTCAACTGTTGAACAAAGTGTTTCTGGAGTTATTTATTTTACTAATACTCATTGTATAATCAAATGAACATAAAAAACACACCTGAACAGAAAAACGCATTTTGTCTCCTCTCTATTATAAAGTGGAATGGGTCAGACTAAACCGAATCGTCTTTCTCTGTGACAACACTGAACATCCCTCACGGATATTACAACAAGCTTATGCATGATGATTATCGTGTCACATTCCTTTGGTTATTTTCATGTATGTTTGCACGCTTCCATAACCTGCACACAAGCCGGAGATAAAAAGCAATCGAATGTATATGATAAATGAATAAGAACATTTTGGGTACTTATATGAGAACCACAGTGCGTTCCGGTGAGAATTTTCAACCAACTTATCCGTAATCACATGTTGAATCACCAGCACACAAAGAACGAGAATCTCTGAGGAAATGTAGTTATATAAAAAAGGTAGAAGTGTTGACGATTAGTTCAAGCGAGCTTTTCGCTGACAATAACATTGTATTGCACATTCTTGCTTTTCGAAAGCGATATAAGTAGTCGATAACTATTACAGAAGAAACTTTTAAGTACCGGTTTGATATGTTTCGGCATTGACGAACATGTGGACCGTAAAAGGAAACGCTCAGCCAATAAAATGAATGTACTATCTGATTAGATTTGACGGTGAAATATCTATGCTTTCGAATTTGAAAAAGAAGGCACTGAAACTTTTGCATGCCACCACCAATTGGAAATCATCTATGAAAATCGGTACTCAAGCAAAATTCTGAAGTTTAACAATATTTAGTTGGAAGGAAAATCAATAATCCATCGGCTGAACCAGTATATTGGGTATGCACTACAATTAGTAAGAACGTCATACAAAAAACAGTCATTTTAACAGCTGGTGATCGAAAAACTCCATCCAAGGTCCAAAACGTGGTTAAGAAACAAACACCTGGCCAATTCCAATGAACTTTTCACGATCCCGAGATTTGCTGAAGTACGCATATATTATGCTATAGTGAGTTTAATCTTATGCGATTTGCGGTGGATGGTCCAGAATTAAACGGGAATGTCTTCTGAGTGAGTTGGAACATTCAAAGAGTTTCGGAAGCCCTGAGATTTATATGGTGTAACACAATGATTTTGAAGTAAAGGTAACCNATTTCCACTTTGGTATCGGGTTTACTTTGTGTAACCTTCCGAGAACTAGGAAGTTGGCATGAAACCGATACACCATTCAGCAGATGTGATGGAATACCAGTCAGAATGCAAGATATGGCTCCAAACGGACCTCGTCTTTGAGAAACTTTCAGTTCTTTTCAGCCCATGGTTTGGTTCCATTATAATGAGGAAAAATGAGCTGTAGAATGAGGCGTTTGTTTCTTCAGCTGAGGTTAGTATACACATAGTAACAAAACAAGTTCGTGACTTTATAGTGCATCTGTGCAGCATCAGAAACAATCTCCATAGATAATCGGTTTTCCAAATGGTCAGATCCTAATCAGCCAACGATGGGGTTTTCGTTTGATAATACACCGGGTGGAATGAGGAAAGGAGCTGTACAAATGTTGCACAACAAAATGGGAGGGAAATGATACAACTTAAAACGTCAGCAAATACATGGGCAGTCGACGTTCTGTTACTTTATTTGAGATTTCGACGTTATGGTCCCATAGCCCTCATTTGTGTTCCTCTCCCTCCCCATTAAGGAATTTACTTTTAAGCACATACTACAAGTGTGCCCATACAATATTAAGTCGGAATGATACCTACCCTCGGTCAGATGAGCCTTATCTTCTTGCCAGTCTCAATAATGTTCGAGTTAGCGGTTGATTATCTCTCTTTATAGAAACTGTAATAACACAACTGTTCCCCATGTAAATCAAATACAATGCTTTCGACCGCAAAGTATATCATCAAAACGCGAAGCCCAAACGACATTTAACAGGCATGAATGTATGACTTTTACACTCAACCGATTACCTCACGTGCACACCCCAGGATGCTTGACGGTGTACAGAAGTGCAATGGTTCCGGAACGAAGATAGTTGGTTATTCTAATTTGCAGAAATTGTTCATTTTTCGTTGAATATAAGTCTATTTAAACTTAATAAAAGACAAGTTGCCTCAGAATATGATGGAAAATGAGTTTTGCGACGGGTTTTGCCTTTTTCTGCAAGGAATATGCCTATTAAAATCATTTGGGATTTTTTTAGTTCCCCCGATTAATAAGTCTCAGGACAGATATGGGAAACATCAGGTCTTTCTCGGATTTCTTGAAACTCGAATGATGTGCATTACCGTTTGCCTCATCAAAACTCAATTACAATTCAATTTGAATGGTTTTTTTGGATTAGTTCAGTGAAACGGTGATTCTACTCAAATTTAGTTTACTGCCTTCAGTGCGGGATTTACAAGTTAGGGTAACAAATCCGATCTGGTCTAGGACGCTATTGTTTTGAACTATCCTTCGAACTTAACCTTCACGCACGATCCTCAGTTCATCGATTCAACCATACGCTTAGAAGCACTAGACCGGAGTTTTGCCCTTATTGGAGCTCATCAGTAGTGCATGTCTACCGTCCAGTTCGGGATTTGAACTCCGGACCCATCGCATGGAACGCGTGCGCGTTACCGCTGTGCCAACCAGCTCATACCATGGCTGAACCAAATTACCAACTCATGTTCGTTGAGTTGTCGTCTTCAGTGATAGTCAGTTCATTTGGCCCGACAGTAACGAGGGGAGACACAGATGACAATCTGTTAACTTTGATCGAAGCCTCCCACCAAGTCAGGATTTTTATCCCACAACAATACTCACAAGTAAGTGTGAGTCAATTGCGAACTTCTAACTCACACTTCTTGCAAAATGGTTCTTTGTCAGATTATTGAATTTTGCGCTGGAAATTATCGTTCAATAAAGCTACAGCATTCAAAAATGGGATGGAATACGGTTTCCGATGTTGATCAAAGTCCAACAGACAACTGATTTATCATTTTTGATTGGTCTGACCGAGACCGATTTAAGTGCCTAGTGCTTTCGGCGACCCATCCCACATCCCACACTAGTATGGCATTCGCAACTCCAGTATCCAGTCAGGAATCACGGAAGTCCCAACAAGAGAGACCAACACTCCCAACCAGAAACCATCGACCCATGTGTGAGTGAATTCCCATGGCCATCACGGAAAGTGTGCCTCAACCTTTCAACCATTGCGTGTAAAAATTCGTGATCTTCACTTCGATTGCTTTAACGAAGAAAGGATGTTGAACAAGAGCTTATTCCGCCTATACCGAATGCACCAGTAGATCTGAGTTCAAGTGACAAGACGTTTCAAACTAATTTGTGATTCCCAATAAGGTAGTGTAAGCAAAAGTTATTCCTTACCAAGAGATCTGTTAGATGAATCTTTTTGGACTCAGTAGTAGTAATGGTTTCCGCGGCTGGATTCGATACATTCTTCTTGATTATTGATTTGCCCCAACTACTAACTGCTTACACTCATTTTTGGAATTTTCGTTCACAATTTTGACCAAAACTCGCATTTCATATCGAAAATATATCGACATATAGTCGTTCTATATCCTTAATAGAACTATTGACCCATTATGGGCTAAGAAGAGTATAACACGAGGTGAATTCGATCCCGCGAGTTCAAAAAGACGTGATTCTGAATAAAATGTGTGCCGTCTGCGAAACGTCGGCATTATTCACTCCTTTTACTTTGAAACTGCATCCCTTCATGGTATAGTATTCCCTCTGATTTTTGATGTGATAACCATGGCTAGGGGCTCGACAAATCCATCTTTCACAGGTTTGCATTTCCCACATGCAATGCGNCCGGCACGTATAGCTGAAGTCGTTAGCGGGTCTGAGTATCCTTCAATCACGGATTCAGTATTAGTCTTTCGGTCAGGATTCCAAATGAGATAAAACGCCGGTAAACAGTTTTTCGGGATTTTCGGTGTTGAAAAATGCGGTCTTTGCATCAAAACCGCTGCAATTAAGCAAAGCCATGTGCTTTCGTATTATTAGTATACACTGAGTTATTTTTACGCGTGGTTTTCGGAATACGGGATGCATTGAGTGAATACTTGTTTAGTCTATCTCACAGTTTCTCTAACCAGTTATGTAAATGAAAATCGACTGAATAATTACCGTATCCAGGAGGAAATTCTGATAAATTGCGTGCTATAGAATTTACGGCATTTATTGTTTTAGTGATTTATTCAACTCCTATAAAAAGCAATCCATGTC